ATATACGAGAAATCAAGGCACACTTAATAATTGTAATGCCAAAAATGTTTCCCTATCAGTTTTTCTCGAAGCAAAACCGTATTGGATTCAAAGAGCAAACTGACTGAAATAATTGATGCTTACCTTTCCAAGTTCAAGAAGGTTTGTAAGCATGACAATGGAAGAAGCTTTCTGTTCCCAAATCATCTTCCAAAAGTCGTTGAACGTTTGAGTCAAAGGGCCTGTACAAAAAGAATGGTAGAAAGATACGGGCATCTATTTGCTCTTTTAACACGTCACCCGCAGGGTAAGGGGAACTATAAGCAGAAGAAAAGGGATCGTTAATGGTAATGTGGATGTTCGTTTCGAGACATCAAAACAAAAAGAGGCAAGTAGGATCATGAATAAAGAACTTATCTAAACGAGACCATGTTTTCCCATTTAGAACATATGTCATTCTCCTGAAAAGATAATTATTTGATTGAGATACATATTCATGCATGTATCTTGCCATCCACAACCGTCAAACAAAGAAATGATAATTTTTGAAATGACACGTGGTATGAAATGAGAAGACACGCGCAAACCGAAAAGGTCTATTCCAGACTTTCAAAATCAGGTTGTTGACAAGGTCATTAATAGCTGATAATATTTGTAAAGTACTATATACCTTGAGTTGCGACGTAAGCTTTCGGTTTCTTTGCGTATCCCTGTTTATATAAAAAGTGATTATTACTAAGGATAAATGAAATATAGTTCTTATGTTAGGTCATACTGTATCCGCTGCTTTTTTTTGGTCCTTTACAAAAGGCGCGTCCAATTTTGGAAACTTTCAAAACATCACTAAAACAAAATAGCATGTGCGCTTGGCTTGGCTTGCCCACATTTCAATTACATGATGCACACTTGTGACGTGGTCTGTGGAAAACGCTATATTCCTGTTGGATTACGGATAACAAGAAAATCTGGCTAGCGAGGCACAAAAGTACAAAGCATTGTYCTCACAAAACAAGAGCTTAATTCCAATGCCTTTGCTAGAAGTTGGAAGTTATCTTAATTATACGTATAAGTCTATGATAACATTGCACGCTTGCTTTAATGTGTTGTTAGACTCATCTATTAATGCCCTTCTCGTGTCCTCTTTTATTAATAACAGTTTTATTCACCTACTTACATGCATATACGAGGCATTGATGTAATCAGAACCAGGTTCGCTTTTCACAGGTTTAATAGCYACTCGGGAATTATCGTCTAATCACCAAGGCCGTAGAGGGAAAAAAAGGCACTAAAGTTAGGGAAGTAGGACATTTCTATGTATCGGAAATATATTCAATTTGGATCAAAACACAAACACAAAAACACTCAAAATCTTTGTCAATAATTTTCTTTCTTTGTCTCTGAAAAAAAATGGCCACTCCCAAACTATACTATATATTAATTTTTATAAAATGAATCTTGAAACTCACAAGGTACAATGTTTCCATATCGGTTTTTATTTGTATTGACGGGTTTCTTAGCAATAGTCCATGAAAACTGATGATTAGGTGCCATCTGTTAAATAAAATTTAGCATTGGCAAAGTCTTCTTTATCAAATTGTTATACGCATAACAGATGTTACTAAGATGAACTCGAAAAAGGATAGCATTTGCTCACCTTATATTCTTGCTTCAGTACAGCAAAATCATGGCATCGATTCCTTGTAATGAATTCTGAGAACTCGTCCACTTTAATGGCTTGACTATTATCGTCACCATATACGTTACCTAAGGTTTGGTATGGGAAATAAAAGAAGTTAAAAGTGTTTGTCCTTCTTTAATTACTTCTATAATAATTGTTATGACACACAGTGTCTAGACTTACCAGTCATAACATTTTCTTCACGCTGATGTTCCATATTAAGTACGTGCAAAGGTACTGGTATATTTTCGTTTTTATTCTGCCTTCTACAAAGGGAAATGTCTTAGTAAATGTAATAGTACTGGTATCAACCAAAAACCATTTCTGTTCAAAAATTCTGTTTAAAGGAGGAAACAAATGACATTTTAGCTGATATATTTGCTTCTTCGTGTACAGCTCAATTATTCTCCTTGAATGAGCCAACATAATAGTTTTATTTCAAAAGAAAATATTAGCACATTGCTTAATTTTGTCATGAAGTATTACCTTCTCCACATCCGAGCTCCAACGATAATAATCACCAGCACCAACGCTACAGCAACCAGGATTCCTATCACACCACCAGCCGACAGCGAACTTTTACTTTTCGCTATTTTTACTGAAGCGCGTTCTGTGTAACAAAATTGCTTATCTTACGAGACGTATTTCTCATCTCTTTTTCTGTCTTAAATTTCTCATTAACTTGCGGCTGAGAAACTACGTAAAAGATTTGTCATTTGTAGTTGTTTGCAAATTACTTTGACACACCGCCATCTTGGTTGAGTTGCCGGGCAAATAACTCTTCAACCAGTATGGCTGCCGGTCACGTAGACATGTATTCATTGCATATTTTTAACTAGCTTTGTTTTCTAAATAGCTCAATCATGATTTCGTATGGAACGTTGTGGGCGTTTTGTTTCAAGTTGGTAAATAAAAAGTCAAAACGTTTTGCCCCGAGTTTTTTCCCCACCTCATTCCGAGCATATCATGGTCAAGATTGGTGATATTCAAAATAAGCTTGTTTTTGATAACATCCACTTCTTTGGCTGCCTTGTCTCCTCTTGTATTTATTTATTACTTAAACCTACAAAAAGTTTTTTGCCTCTTAGATAGTTAAGTTCTTATATATAAACTGTAGTAAGGTAGTCCATGAAGAGTCCCATAATACTAGTCGTCTCTTGGACTTCTGAGTTTATTTTATAGAACGCCCAGTTATATGTTCCACTGTGCACATGTATAAAGGAGTGTACTTACCTACACTGATGAATGAAATTAAAGCCTCTTTACCATACAATATTGTCTGAAAGAAAATGAGCCAACTCAATGGACTATTCATTTTATATATACTCTAAGTAAACTACTGTTCTTAACCGTATAAAAACTATACGACAAATGAAGACATAAACATCTCATCCAGTCTATATCCACAAGTGTTTTTACAATACACTGATCCCAGCATGAAAAAATATTACAATATTTAACAAAAAAGAGTAACATTACACTTTCTTTACCTCGTTATAGTAAGTCAGTGCTCGTTCATACATAATATATCTTTGACCCTTCTCTAAAGGGACGTTCTTGTACATGTTGTTAAATACAGTCCCATCACCAATAGTAACTACTTTAGTTTTGGACTCAAATGCTTCTGCTGGAAGTTCAGCGGTGATGTAATAATGAAGGTTTTTATCTGCAGCAGTGGAATGATTGAAAATATTTTCTGTATAATTTGATGGCAACTTGGATGTAGTAGTTATTTCATCTTGGAGGCGCAGAACGATTACTTGGTATGCACTGGAACGTCAAAAAAGTAATAAATTCATAATATACTCCCAAAACAAACAGGAAACAAATGTTGTTGTTGTTGTTGTTGTTGTTTTTTGTTTTTGTTTTTTTAGTTTTTTTTTTTTTGATTAGTCTGGTTTATTAGCAAAATTATGTAGAAAATTGTATCATGCGCAATGAAGATTCTTGTGACTGCACGTGACCTGTGTGATTTGTTGTGTGCAGTTGGGTACAAATACGTCAATTAGCAGTTGGAATATCGTTGGTGCTGCCTTTAGTATACTCCGCTGATCAGTTCTTAAAGTTTACACAAAAAAGGAGCCGGAACTGATATCACAGGCCTCCCGAAAACATCGCTACCAGCAAAGGAGGAAAGATGAATAGAATCAACAATGCGGACAGTGGAAAGAATCATGAACAGTATTATGCACCAAATCAATTATTCTTTCCAGAGTCAAGCGTAAGTCATATTTTCTAACCCACTACACATAACAAGGTTAGGAATTCGATGACATTGTATTTGAACATTATATAGCGAGTGCTGCAAGGTTTTTCATATGTACATTGTTTTTTTTTGTTTAATTTTGTTTTAATCCCTTATTTTGTTCCTTGGTTATCATGTAAATATTTATTTTGCATATTAAAGTATTGATCACCTTATTGGACCGTTTCTTGGCTCAGCCTTCCATATCGTAATATTTAGCACTGTGCCTGTATCATTATGATGTTCTACTTGAGCTGCAGGGGCTACAGGACCTGGGACAATAATAATAAGTCAAGATAAAGCGTTTTATCTTGCTAGGACATAGCTAGCCCAAAGCAAAAAGTTCTGTTATTAAAACAAAACACCGAAAGAGGGGGTAAAGAGAGCGAATTCGGCTTGGTGGAAGTCCTGCTACAAGGCAAAGGGAATACTGCCTTCAGCTTTGTCGTCATGTTTTAGCTTAATAGCTTAGTGCACCCAATGTTTACAACATCTGCATATCAATATCAACGTATACAGTCTCGGTATATGAGAAAGAAACAAACATGGGGTGAAGGATTGCACAATAATTTTTCAAGCTTATAATTCAAGTTCGTACTTACGKTCTATTGCTATGATAATTCTAGTGATACTTGCAGGGCTGTCACCACACTTTGTTGTGGCAAAAACTTTGAATGTGTAATTTGTCAGCGGTATAAGGTTAGGGATAGTGAGGTTTGTTGTTCTTTGTGTGTGTGACTTAGTGTGTTTAAAATCATTCCAGTAGAACTTGAATCCTTCGTACTGAACCTGTAAGTTACAGAATTGAGAAAACGACAAATCTAAATAAGGAAATTTTTTCTTAAGTATTTTTACACAAATGAAAATAATTAATCCGGTGCGCTCACTGGTCACAATTTAAGTCTTATGCTACTATATTCACCCGGGGA